CTCTCTCTCTCTCTCTCTCTCTCTCTCTCTCTCTCTCTCTCTCTCTCCCGATGTCACTCTCTCATTCTCTCTTCTGTGCTGTGATTGAATCCTAACCCAGTGCCTTTTGCCTCTTAGATAAGCACTTTGCCACTGAGCTCTATATCTAGCCCCCTAAACATAATAATTTTGTATACCTTATTTATGGGAATAACATGAAATATTTTGCGGGAAAGTTCTTTTTGGGTTATAAAGTCTTGCACAAATGCTTATCATTAATATTTTGACTTTACTTTGTAGTTCACGCTGGTGTAAAACTTGCCTCTTGCTGTAGCCTTCAAGTGCTAGGATTATAGGCATGCACTGACATATTGATTGTTTAGTATTTTCTTATTCTTCATGGTTATTGATTATCTGGGAGCATAATTGTTACTTTCTGTTCCAATTCTCATTTTATAAATAGTTTTGCACCACTTTCTTGGATATTTAGCTTTTCTCAATCTCTTTTTTTCAGCATGTGAAATTTAATTGGCTTACTAAATCGTGATACTTGTACACTGTATTCATTTCATGTTGGTTGAGAGTCTAGGTCCCATATTTTTATTTAACTAAAGGCATGGCCCTAAACTTTTGCATGTGTGTTTTTTGTTCTTAGGCCTAAACGACAGCCAGTGAGACTGCACTGAAGAGCGGACATCCTAAGAGGGGCTGTCCCCAGCTTTATAATGAAGAAGAGCAGAAGTGTGATGACAGTGACCGCAGATGACGTAAGTAGTAGAGGCGACACCGCCAGGATCCCCTTGCAGACAAGTGTGTTTAATACCTTTGACTAGGTCTTCTGATGGCAAAGACATCACCAGTACTGGACCCCCTGTATTCAATGAGGTGGAAAGCAGGAACAATTCCCCTTACAGCTTGCAGATGGGCTTTGTTGTTTTCATTCAAAAATCTCCCACTCTAGTCTGTGTTTACATTTAACCCTTAATTACTCGTCTGTACCGTTTCCAGCATCTGCCATTGATGACTTTCTTCTACACTTTTTCCCATGTGTCTCTAGCTCTTGAAAGTCTCACCCCGTGGCCTTTGGTCTTCAGCAGTTACTCCTCAGGAGTTTGTGACCTCGAGGTCTGGCTACTTGAGTGGCTCTGAGACCGGCAGCTTTAAACTCATCTGGTGTTTATTAGAAACGCAGGATTCCAGGCTGTTTCTCAGACCTACAAATGAGACTATTTTAACAAGATCCTAGAATGTCCCTTATATTTGGGAAGTCTTACTCTAAGCCATTTGAAGTCCATAGATTCATTAACTTCATCCGTTGGGCTCTGGTTAGCTGAGAGTATTTAGTTCCTCACTTTCAACTGACCACTCCCTCATTAGTGTGTCTTTTCATTGCAGACTCCTTACTCAGTTATTCATTGTGACTGATATAAAAATTATATACCACTACAACCGGGTGTGGAGGCACACACCTTTGATCCCAGCACTCAGGCGGCAGAGGCATGTGAGATGAGGCCAGCCTGGTCTATAAAGAGAGTTCCAGATCAGCCAGGGCTACATAGGTAGCCAGGGCTACCCTGTCTCAAAAACACAAAACAAAACAAAAAACAAAATAAAATCGCATACTACTAATAAGTTGTGAAAAAGGATAGAAGAGAATTGGCATGTGAGATGAGGCCAGCCTGGTCTATAAAGAGAGTTCCAGATCAGCCAGGGCTACATAGTGAGACCCTGTCTCAAAAACACAAAACAAAACAAAAAACAAAATAAAATCACATACTACTAATAAGTTGTGCAAAAGGATAGAAGAGAACGAGGAAAAGAAGTGATTTTCTTTGCATTCTGCAATAGCTCAGTTTACATTTGACCTCCTGCTTCACAGATGGAAAGAAGACCTAAGCAGGACTTGAACATTCCAATCAATGTAAAAATGGTATCTTGGGGAAAAAGCTCAATCTTTCAGTTTCCCTCCATTCTTATGCCCCTCCTTGAATTGCAAGGCATGTGAACAAAGTTCAGAACTTAACATTCAACTCTCTTATACCAGAATGAAAATAAGAGGACCAGCTCCTCTTCCCAGGCTATTGGCTGTCAGTCTCATTCTTGGCCAGCACAGCCTGGGCGAGGTGGCACATGCCTCAGGATGGTAGTTGTTAGTATGTGCAGTGCATTTCCTCAGGTCCCTGAGAGTTGGGGTTTCTCTCCCACTGCCCAGGTTTTGCATTAACATCTCAGTGGAGCCCTGGTGATTGTCTTGTCTAGGGTTTACCATGCTGGGCTCAGTAGTTCCTTCACCTCATGCTGCAGCAGACTTTAGGGGAGTCTGCTGGGGTGGTTCTCAGCTTCTTTCAGGCCCCAATCACAAATTCAGCAATTGTAAAATGACTAAATTATATTTTGCCTTTGAAGTTGTTAGTAATTTGGATGGGGAAACAGTCTGTAAATTATAACTGTACATACAGGGTTTGAGGTAATTATGAATGATTCTGCATTTAATAATGATTGTCCTAAAATAATACTAGTATTTTCAATATAATTTACTTTCTGAAAAGCTGTTCCATTAAGTTCTTTTGTGACAATGCATTTTCACATTCACCAAGGGCTTCTGAGACAACTCCTTTTAGTTTAAGAATGACCTCAAAGCTGTGGGTGCAAATTTGTTGATAAGTTAATGTGAAAGACTTTTTTTTTTTCTCCAAAGTAAAAAAAATTATTTTAGAAAGGGTTATATAACACAACTAAGGAGAACTTATCTAAGAATGGGAAGATTGGTTTCACCTCTGAAAATCAGTTATTGTAGCATACAGCTTTACTAAAATGAAGCGATTATCCAATAGACACAGAAGAAATATTAGGCAGAATCTACATTCAATCATTAATTATTTTCACCATCACTATAAAAACGCCACAGCAAAATTGAGGGCAGAAATTTCTTCATTTTGATCCATGTACCTCTACCAAATTAATGAAACAAATGCAACATTGTACATATAACATCAAAGAAAGCTTAAAGCAGCCCCTCTATTATTATGGATTGGCAGGCTCAATATGGTTTTGATAGCAGTTTAAGTCAGT